TTGGTGTTAAATCAATTACAGCTCCTCTATGACTATCTAATCCGGGCTTCTTGTTTTTCAGCGTAGAATGCCGCTTTGTAACTATGATTGATCTCAAAGAAGGCTTCTGTTATTCGACATAACCATATGATACATTGAGCTGCATGCCTATTTTTGTTCTCGTTCTCTGCTAATTTTTTGGTGCATTTTCATGTAAACGAAAAGTGGTTTTCCTCACCAGGAGACCCTAAATTTGGCAGAGGTCAAAAAAGATGGACATTTGTTGTGCCTTTCGATCATATTCGGAGTGAATATTAAGGTCACTGGAGATGACAAACCTCAGCAGGGAAGGATTGGATTCACATTCTTTTCGAGTGAAATTTTTTTAAGTAGAAGTGAGAATGTAACTTTTCGGTCTATCAGCTGTAGCGAATTAATCGAAAGAGGCCTCACCTTGATTCTGTATAGACTCAGTTGTATTAAAACACTGAAAGAGGCCATATAAACTGGCTCAGAGTTGATATTTCGAGATTATCATGAGATGTATTCACTCTATTTCATCTAAGATGTCGAAGGACTGGCCGTTGAATTTTTCCCACAATTATCTGGATAGGCCTCATCTTTACAGTGAATTTCACATACTTTGTCCATGGTGGACTTTTGTTCCGAAATCTCCTAGTTCTCACTAGTACCCTGAGTGGGACTCGGGCTCACTTAATGCAACGTATAATCTCGATTTAGTTGGGAAGGTGTCTGGCTTATGAGCTAGTCACATAATTGTGGTAAAATTCAATTACCAATCCTTAATCCTCCTAAAAGAAATAGGGTGAATGCACCTAACAACTACCGGAAAATGTGTACAGATGATCCAAACATTGAAGTTTACGGTTGGAATATAAGAGCTTATATTAGAAGACGGCATTATGAGAAGCTAAAGCAACAGTAGGTAAAATCTCCAGTAAATCATGAAAGAGGAAATATTAATTTGTGGGGATGCTTTTCATATTCTGGGGTTGACAAATTGCACAGGATCAACTAAACAGTAACTTAGGCGAATCACCACTATATTCTGTAGAGGAATGAAATCAATTTTAGCTTAAATTTAGGGTGAAATGATTTCTTTTTAGCAGTAAAACTATCCTAATCATGTATCGAAGCTACTTCAGGCCTATTTGAAGTCGAATGAAGAATAAGGAGTGCTGACCTGCATGGCTTTCCTTCGTTAACAAAAACCAGACCTCAACAACATTGAACAGCTGTGAAAATAAATGAAAAAAGAGAAGACGAAACATAATTTAACATCACAAGACTCTCTGGGATTCTCTAAAAGGATGCTGGAATATTGTGGATGCCCGAACTCTTAAAGAATTTGTAGAAACAATGCAAGATAAAGTGTAAGTGGTTATTTAGAGTTAAAGTAGTTATTTCAAATATTGAGACATTTTTACCGTTAGTAAATATAAACAAACTTTCGCTGGCTTATATAAGTGAATTTACATTAGTTAATTCGCATATTATTGAAAAATTATGTAATCTTGAGTAAAAAATACCACTTTAGTAAAAATTTGCAATAGATTTTTAATAATGGATTTCCTCGGGGTGGTCTCAGACTTTCAGAGCCTAAAGCTCATCACTTTCAACATCCTTGTATGATCAAAAATCTTATTCATAAGTGGTTGCGAAATTAAATTACAAAGGCTCTTTGATGAGCTAATTTGTTAACCATACTTGCAAACCATAATTGAAAATGACTGTAAAAGCAGTTTTAATTTGGTTAGAGGGATGGGCTTTGGTGGGACCCTACTTTTTTAAAGGGGCTATAGAATAAGTCTTGAGTATAGCAGCTGTCTGGCTATCTGCCTAACGTGACGTTTGAAATCTTAGTACAGATTCTTGTGAGTACAGCTAGGATATGTTCCCTTTGAAACACTTGACCTAAGGAGCATTCTTTGAAACTTCCAGGAAATAAGCACTTTGAAGCTCTTTTCGACCCAAAGTTTCACTTCACATGCAGCCTCTGGAAAGCAAAAAATAGGATAGAGTCGAAACCTCAGAATATTTCTAAATTTCCCTATTTTTTGAAGTCAAACGGTCGTAATGGAGGAGTTGTTTCAGTATATTTGGTGCTGTTGCCCTGACATCTGAAGACACGGTTCTCCTTTTTGGAGCCCCATGTTCAACATTTTCTCCCATCTTTGTGCTTGTCTTTCATACCTCCCAATTGAGTCAGTAGGCCTTAAGCGGCAGCAACTAATTGGCTATAGCCAAGACTTGAGGTTTGCCCTAGATGTATTATTCCGGCCTACCAAAGAGTATGATTGATTAAGAACTTCGGGGTACTCTGAGATTCATTATCCACCTTCGGCATGGGTGCATTCCATTCTGCATGTATGCACGCCGGAAAGTTCATGTAGAAATAAGAAATAAACTTAATTATTAATGGATAGACTTATGCAATAGGGAGAGGCAAGCAATGAACGAGAATCCTTGCATGCTGCTACACACATACACACATACACACACACACACACTCTCACAACTCAGGTACACTCTTTCGCAAGCCTCCGGCTCGCAAAATACTCACGCACCACTAGGACCATGTGTGCATCCATATCTGTTGGGTTGTGTGTGTGTGTGTGTGTGTATGTGTGTTTGTGTAGGCAAGCAGACACTCAGCAATGCATAAGTTGACCTTGATACTGGCACGAGGCGGTCAAGTCGTCTTTGTATCTGCGGCGCCAGAGGTGACTGCCCACCCTCGTCTCCAGGCGTCATCGTGTCTGATTCGTCCAGTCGGCCGACCAAGTGTACCTCGGGCTATGGCCGTCGAAACGCTGATCTGGCCGGGGCGACTCAAGTCGGCTGCTCACTTGTGTCGTCAACTGAACAGTGCCCCGGCAGACTTCTTGCAGACCAGTGGCCCCTGACCCAGATCACCAGTCTTCCTGATCCTCCGGCATTGTCGAGAGATGTGCACCCACCTTGAAGTCTGCTGTGCCCACCGCCACATGCCCAGCTGCCTCGGCAGTGGGGCCGCGCGAGTTCGTCTCACGGGCTGCAGTGCCGCCGGGTCGGCGGGAGGCGGAATCGACGCCGAGCTGCTTGCAGACCTCGAGGAGACTTTCCCCACCCTGTACCAGGGCTGGTTGCCGCGCTGTGAGTTGCGGCAGGCCTTGGAGAAGACCGGCTTCAATCTACCCGGTCATGAGTTCAGGGAGCTGGAGAAGGAACTGCCCAACTTTCCGGATGGAAAAGTCCCTTTGGAGGCATTTGTGATGATCTATTCCAAGGTTAAGGAGGCCAAAGACGTTTCGCGGTTATTTCGAAAAGAAAATATCTTACGTGAAAGGCCTGAACTCAGGGTGAGGCAGATTTCGACTATTAAATAACATGAATCAGCATAACATTTATTAATTACAT